TATGAATTGACGCTCTTTGGCAGTTCTTTGATGTGTACATAGGTGCATTTCAAATGTAAATTCTAAATAACGGGAAATTTATTTGAATCTGAAGAATAATTATAATTTGTGAAAATTCTATCATAAAAACGTAATGAAGGAAATAAAAGATTTAGTCATATACTCATATAAAAATATTAGTGCTTATATATATAACTCACATGATATATATATTATTCCTCTTATTTAGTTTTATTTATTTTGACTATTCAAAATTTTAAATTTTCTGTTATAGAGAAATCTGACTAAATAAAAACTTAAATATTTTATCGGTATTTTCGAGAGTTATTCTAATATATTGGTTTTCAAATATCAAATTCTACTTAGTTGTATTTATTAAACTTCCCAAATTTAATATTTACAGAAATAAGAAAAAAAATTGTTTATAGAATAAATTCCAAAGGTAAAAAAATATTTTGGGGGGAAGTCCGATAGAAAGGTCCAATAATAAAACGTCGGTCTACTATTTATTTATACAGCAAGGAGGCCACAAGTTGGCTTGACAATATCGTGGCCCAAATCTGATTGATAAATTTTGTTTTGCCGCGGCAGCACGATGGGTTGGTCCTACCCTGTACCGCCCCACGGCACGGCCGCCCAATCAGGTAGACGGGGCGGAGCTTCGGTTGCCCACGCCGCTTATTGTCCCCTACCTTACTTCGTTTATCTCGGCTTGGTTTACTCAGGAGACATCCGCTTACATCGCATACGATATTTGTTTCTTCCATTTTTAACATTGTGGTCAGGATTTTTAACATAGATTTGTTACGATGGAAGTATGTAACGATATATATTTTTTAATATATAGGACAAAGGTTTCTATAATCAGCGATGGTGAATGAAAAATATTTGGGAAGGCTTAGCTCAATCAGTAGTGAACCTTCCCAAAATTCCGTTAATCATATCGCTACAAGTAGTGCAAGTTCTTTATGTTTATATATTTAGGTGATTGAAGATTTATTCTTGGTGATGGAAAGAGGCTTCTATAATTGTATATATATATGTTATATAAAAAATCTTCTCTTGATTTTAATCATCTTGAAGATTATGCTATGTCAATGCAGTCGTGGTTAAAATCTTGAAAGTATAATAATAAATAACAGTTTGATCAGTAATGTCTTTAATTGAACTAAAGAAATATATAAAAAACAATTTGATAAAAGTACTGCCTGGCTTAAGGCGTAAAAATTATAAAAATGAAAAACTTATTTACATAATGTACAAAAGGTTTGAGCCGGCCATCGGGAAACAACAACAATGAGTTTTTATAGGGGAAGCATGACCTCTGGCGGTCAATTTAGCAGAGTATTTGAATATGAAATATAATTTTAAATAAAATAATATTTTAATATAACATTTCCCCCCTGTGAAGCAGCACAGTTCGTGTGTTTGAAGGATAAGAGTGTGCTATGGATTATTTCCATAAATATTTATCATTCTTCAACAATATTTATATAATAACGAAATCTTCAAACACACATATATATCGATGTATTTTAGTACGCATATTTGAGTGCAGATTTAAGCGTTGTATTCTATCCCACATAGAGCCATGAGCCATTTTTTTTAAAGGCAGTAGCCCAATTTGATTTAAAAAAAAAAAGCTATTTCGCTAATAGAACTTTTAATGTATCGCACATAACGAAATTATTGTACGAATAGAAATAGTTATTACATATAACAACAATTAGGAATTTTCGGGGATAAGAGATTAACTCTATTATGTTATTAACTCTAAACGGAATATGGAAATTACCATCATCTCCCGTCTTAAGATTGATTGTGTGTGTGTGTGCACCAAAAAGATATTCTCTAATACCAATAAAAACATTTTCCTCCATGAACGCAATGTCAAGCTACCGAAGCATACTGAATAACATCCTGACTTAAACAAGATCTATATGATAATCCAGATCAAAAATTATCAGCGAACTGAATGAATCCGGTGGCCAAACAAGCCAACAAGATGGAATGAATGTACATGGATGGATAAAAAAGAGGTCAATTGAAATGTCCTGCTAATATCTACAATTCGACCGTCTTTATTTCACTCTTAATAACCAAGATTTTTTAAAAGAAGTTTGATGAGTGGAGTGAAAGCTTCTCCCTGAGGAATATCAAGTTGATTTTTTGAATGTAAAAGAATAGAAAACTCAGCATATTGCGTATCGTATTGTCTACAAGAATAAGATATACGTATTTAATATACAAGTATATACAAGATTTACATAGAGATATTTTCGTAGATACATTCACTTAGAGATAAAAACAGAAAGTGTCAAAAATATTTTCTTTCAAAAACTAATTAAGCATTTCAGAATAAAGATTATCGATATTTTGATAAAGGTTAATTTTAACAATATTAATATCCCCTCCCCCCTTTAAAAAAGAGAGATATCATGAAATTATATCGACAAAAAACAATCAAGATATCTGTCTAGTAAATAAATGTCTTTCCCAGAGCCCATAGAGTGATCATGGAGGGCGAGTAGAGGTTGCTCAGGAATATTCAGCTAAGAGTTGATCGTCCATGTCAAGTCAACATTAGATGTTACAACATACATGTGTATATATAGGTATAGGGGACAAGATCATTAATTATTTCAAACTTAATATCCCCATCCCGGTCTATTATTAAACCCGAGTAATTGAATGAGAAGGAGGATGCAATTATGGATGATTCTCTAGATTAAATTTCTCCCTATTTCTATAATATATTACTTAGACTGGGGTTTGGATTGGTGATGATGATTATACTTATCATCAGTTGATCACAGAGAAATGATGCGTCGAGTATGGTTGAAATAGGATAGGTGAACCAGTAGATTCATTATATGTAGATTTGCATTGAGCACAGAGGTGTTTAATATAAATTCGTTAACTAGTTTGCATACCGGTTTATCTGAATGATAATTTTCCTCTGAATGTTGAAGTTCGATTTGCATATCACATGCATCCACAGTAAAAGATATCATGAGGGATATTTATGATGTCACATCTTGCCTAAGTAACAACCTTTATGAAATCCAGAACGAAGCTTTGTTATTTATTACAATCTCCTATATGCGACCTACCTCCAATAAAGACCAGAGGTATCCATATTTTTAGTGATCTTTCATGTAAAGTTTAACTGTTGTTCTACATATCATTTGGGGTATAGTTTCTAGCGTATCTATCGCTTATTCTTGAACTTCGGGTCTCTCCTCTACATTATCACATATATCACTATGGTATTTTAAAATTGAATGCTTAATTTTATAATAAATGATCAAAACTACTTTTCTTCCGACATTACTGCGAATATAGAAAATTAAATGAAAGGGTTTGCTCATATCATTAATATTTGTCAGTAGTTATTAATGATTAATTTGAAAATATGATTTAATGTTCAAATAAGTGTAAAAGGTAAGGCAGTTTAGAATTTTCAAATTATATATATATATATTAAAAATAAAGAAGGCATATCCTGACCACGAGCACATGTGCTTTATGCTAGATGGCGCTCACCTGACCCACTTATTATTATTTTTTTCCTATTGTTTTTTTCATATATTTATATTAGATAATAAAAAGGTATTTATTGGATTGAATAAAATATTCATTCAAATCATTCAATCCAATTTATGCCTTTTTATTATCTAATGATTTAAGTATGGGTAGCTCTATTTTCAGAACGGTATATATATTATGTATTTTTGTGGTGTTAATGGAATAAACTATTCTTATAAAAGGGAAAGGGAATAAAAGGATAAGGGCATAAAGGAACCAAAGAAAAACATAGAGATAAATTGGATCAATTAATTCCGTAAATAACTACATAGACAAAAACCTGAAAATAATGATATATAATTAACATATCGTTTATAAAAAGGAATGTCTACTGTGTTTGCATTATTTGAAGGTATTCAAGGGTTACTGATATAGCAAGGGCCTACAGAACATGGAGGACGGCTGCCGATACCTAAAGTTTAAAAGGTCAGAAGAGGGAAGAAGAATTGAAGAGAAGACCTTGTACAAGAAGCCCATAAAAAGGAGAGAAAAAACTACTAACTTTCAAAAACAATTCACCAAAGCAATTTATCAAAGTAAAACTAGCTCTTAATGCTCTAATAAGGCGTCAGCATAAATTTTATTGGTCGCTCGAAGTTGTGCAAATCTCCAGTCATTAAGGCCCTCTCGACCCAATAACTTTGTCACCCGACAGAAATATTGAGGCCATTTTATTGCAATTCCCAGCAGCAAATTACGTGGAAAACCATTTCAACTTGAAGGCGGATTAGGCCTTGGATTCATGCGGGAAAATAAAATGGAAGGCGGATTTATTGCGACGCCCAAAGGTGACATTTGGACACCTCTGGGATCCATCGAGACCACTCTCTAGGATTACATCCCCCGCCTCTGTCTCTCCAACTTTGAAATTGTTCAACCAGCATTAGCCATCAGACCAGTCAGTAGTGTATTGCAATATTGTTTCAGAAATCTAAAAATTCTAACTATGGTTTCATGTGTGTGTTTGGTTAAAAGATAGGTTAAAAGAAGAATTAGAGATTATTATCACAATAAATTATCACAAAATCATTATTTTAGAAATTTAAATATCACTATAATAGCTCTATATATTTTGAATTTTATTCATTTATACTATGAACAAAAAGAATCAATCACATATTGGCTAAAGGATAACAAAGAATTCAAACTGAGGGAATCAAGATGTTTAAATTTTCTCTCATTTCAAGATCGATTTCTCTATGGAGAAGTGAACTCGATCGAAAAAGCTCAGATGGCGTCATCCCCCCCGCTGGATCGATGCGAAGTGAAGGGGAAGACAAAAACGCAGGTCTGCAGGAGTTTCAGCGTCAGCAGAGTGAAGAGCTAATTAGATTAGGAAAAGTTGGAAAGTTCCATAATTTGTAAGAAAGAGGTTTGACAGGTCTGGTTTTCTTGCAGAAGTCGAATAGGCCCACTCTCCGCGTTCACTGTCTGCCTTAATGTTGCTTGCGCCATAAGGCACGCGGTGAATGCCAAGAGATGGGCCGGGTTTCTTCTACTCGGTCGCCTCCCTCTACCCTCACCTACCCTTTATCCCTGCTGTTTGACTATCACCTACCCTTTATCCTTACTGTTTGACCCTTCGCTACCCTAAATTCTCACTGCTTGACCCTCCACTTATCCCTGCTGTTTTACCCTCCATCTACCTAATATTCCCTGCATTTCTTTTCCCAATGCTACCTCTCGGTATACCCTTAGTTTGCCCATAGCTTTCTTCCCACCCGAGTCAAATTTATTAATTTCCTTTTTCCATAAGTTGATTTCCTTCACCCCCTAACTATACCTTTCTCTATCCCCCTAGTTTGCATGTCCCCTCTCCTATGGCGACCAAGGCAACAACCATCTCAAAGACCATTTTGGTCTTGAGATAGGCTTGCCTCAACCAACGTCCAACTTTGTTTGCAAGAATATTCTGCTGGCATCTCAACTTATTCAACTCTGAACATATGTAAGTATATACTTATATATCTATCCTTATATAAATTCTTATTATTCATATATCATATAAAACTTTCCTGAACGGGCTTTTTTTTAATTAAAAAATGACACTAACTGAACTAATAAAAATATAACACATTTGTGCATAAACTGTAAATAAGAAATAACCATTAAGCATTAATTTTTGATTTTCTTGGGAAAAATCTAACATCCCACTCTTCTTGCTGCGATCACAATATTAGAAAGAGCAGTCTCTCAAGAATTTCATCAAAGGCAGTTTACATGTATAGGCCTAATAGAAGAACATAGTAAAGTCTGGTAGAGTGAAGAAACACTCCAGCGAGATTTCAACTCTGATAAACCCATATGTTCTATTTCAGTGAGAACAGTGGGAAGTTGTTTTATTTGTGACAAATTGCAAAGCATTGTTTCATATAGATAAACTTCATATATATATATACAGTTAAACCTGTCTATAGTGACCCCTCTCTTTAGCGCCCGATATATATATATATATATATATATATATATATATGAGAGAACAGTCTTGGTTTTCTATGAGGATTTCCCTGCGACTTGGTATTGATAATGATGTTTTATTCATATGTTAAATGATGTGAAAATCTTAATAAAGGATTCAAGTTTTCCTTAAACATTTCAGATTCCAAACCACCCTACGCCTCCCCGCCTTCATTAAGGTTTCTTTTCAAATTTGCCATTCTTAATAGATCCAACACAAACTTTTTCCGCCTTTCATCCTCTTGTTATTATTGCACTTTTTTTAGCCTCGCGGTGTTACTTTTTCCATTCTTGGAGAACATTTTCCCTTCTCATTATTTTTATCTGGTATAATTGAGATATTTCTTTCTCCTTGTTTTTTTACTTTCTTTTTATTTGGCTATTGTTTGATTCTCCTCCACGCTTCTCAGTTTGCCATATAAAGAAATATTCTTTCTCTCTCTCTTTTTTTTCTTGATTCACACTATCCTATTGCATACGTTTCTTTATTTGTGTTTCTGTCCTGTATTTGATTTTGATATTGAGTCATTCTCAATGTATGCATTTTTATTTTGATATTCGAAGTATTTACACATAGAATTTTAGTGTACATCATTTAGAGTGTCATCAGAAACGGAGCGAAATAATTATATAAAATATATTTATTCAACATATTATATTGTGGTTGCTTCCACACACAATCTTTAATATAATTCACAAATTATATTCTCAGTACAATATTTAAACATGGGGCTATTATAATTACCAAGTTGCGAGGAAGCACGACAAAATTACTAAGACCTAATACTCCGAAACGAGTGAGCATTAACAAAAGTAACAGTTAAAATGGGAATTCAATATAAAAATATATAATAGAAGTTTTAAATTAAGACCCGATTTATAATTTAAAATTTATCTTTTATTCCAAAGCTGATGGGAGTGAACAAAAGGTATATGAGGGAAGCAGAAAGTAGAAACACCAAGTGATATAAAAAAAAAGAATGCAACGAGCCTCAGCAAACGACTTCCGGAAAAGGAAAATCTGCATCACATTTTAGTCCTAGGATGGCGTGGTAGAATTGTAAGCTTGGAAAATAAATAACATTTTCAACATGCAACTTAGAGATTCTAAAATTTTTCGGCATGTAAAATAGTTTAACAAAATGATAAGAAGGCATAGAGGTATATTTAAAATGTTTAATACATAAGAAAATGTTGCATTTAAGAGAAAAAACTGGATTAAGACAATACATAAACACAAAGATGGCCATTGCTGGCCAGTTATTCCTGGTGTCCCCCCTTCCCATCAATCCTACCTTCTGGTAGGATCAAGTAGCAGACTATGAGCGGTTCCTTATTTATACAAGTTCTTCAATTGGGTTTGATATATTTAAAAAATAAAGATTCTACTATCGCAGGAAATGAAGATTATAATAAAAAGATATTTGATACACTTTGTAAATAAAACGTTATTCGCTGGTGCTGAAAAAGCTAACCCTTGTCAATTCTTTTACAAGCTAGAACCCTACCTTTCTGCCATTCTACAATACAGTTATATTCTTGGCCCAGAACCCTACCTTTCTGCCATTCTACAATACAGTTATATTCTTGGCCCAGAACCCTGCCTTTCTGCCATTCTACAATTCAGTTCTATTCTTGGCCCAGAACCCTGCCTTTCTGCCATTCTACAATACAGTTCTCTTCTTGGCCCATAACCCTACCTTTCTGCCATTCTACAATACAGTTCTATTCTTGGCCCAGAACCCTACCTTTCTGCCATTCTACAATATAGTTCTCTTCTTGGCCCATAACCCTACCTTTCTGCCATTCTACAATACAGTTCTATCCTTGGCCCAGAACCCTGCCTTTCTGCCATTCTACAATACAGTTCTATTCTTGGCCCATAACCCTACCTTTCTGCCATTCTACAATATAGTTCTCTTCTTGGCCCATAACCCTACCTTTCTGCCATTCTACAATACAGTTCTATCCTTGGCCCAGAACCCTGCCTTTCTGCCATTCTACAATACAGTTCTATTCTTGGCCCAGAACCCTACCTTTCTGCCATTCTACAATACAGTTTTATTCTTGGCCCAGAACCCTACCTTTCTGCCATTCTACAATACAGTTCTCTTCTTGGCCCAGAACCCTACCTTTCTGCCATTCTACAATACAGTTCTATTCTTGGCCCAGAACCCTACCTTTCTGCCATTCTACAATACAGTTCTATTCTTGGCCCAGAACTCTAACTTTCTGCCATTCTTCAATACAGTTCTCTTTCTGGCCCAGAACCTTACCTTTCTGCCATTCTACAATACATTTCTCTTCTTGGCCCAGAACCCTACCTTTCTGCCATTCTACAATACAGTTCTATTCTTGGCCCAGAACTCTAACTTTCTGCCATTCTACAATACAGTTCTATTCTTGGCCCAGAACCCTACCTTTCTGCCATTCTTCAATACAGTTATTTTCTCCTTCTAGAACCGTATCCTTCTGCAATTGAACAATACAGTTCTCCTCTAGGCTTGGAAGCCTATTTTCTCTACAATTATATTAAAAAGTTCTCTTATGGGTTAGGAACCATACCTTTATACAATTCTAAAATGCAATTTCTATCTTGGTCTATAATCTAACTTCTTACATTTCCACAATAGAATTCTCTTTTTGATCTAGAACTCTCTATTTTCTACAATTCTAGAATACAGTTGTCAACAGAGCTTAGAACTCATTCTTTCTATTATTTTACACTAAACTACACACTTTTATTGTGTTTCACCTTTCCTTCATATTGAGTCGTTTTTATAAAATATATTTCTTCTAAATTTTTCATTGTGAGTCTGTGAATTGAAATTCCTTTTTAAAAATTGTAGTTTAGCCACATAAAAACGTTTTGGGCAACTTGGTTACTCGTATAGCTTCAATAAAGGTCACTATGCATCAAATATCTTTCTGAGTTATTGCCTGGATCCCGATATAGGTGCTTAAAGGTTCAACTCTTTCAGGTTTTGTCCATAAGTGTACTTGGCCTTGCTTTGTAGATGAGGAAACCGGCAGGAAGCACCACTGTCTAAATAGGTACTCCCCAGGTATAAAAAAAAACATGTCATAATTCGGAAGGACATAGCGTTATAAGTTTTTCAACAAAATATCTTGCATATTTTCCATAAGATTTATATTAATCTCTCAAATGAAAGTAACGATTTTCCAAAATTTGTAGTGAATTATATAATTATCCCAATTTGATATGTTTGAACAACTTCATCGAGTTTAGATGGGACCATCATTATAGCAGACTAGCAGTACCTATATTTGTGTGTTAAATACTTTTATTTATCTTTTTTTAATATATTGTATTAAACCCTGTTCTAAATAAAAGTTATTTCAACTCCTGGTGTAGTCTCTTTAATGAAAACACATGAAACAATTTTGCGACATATTTCCTTTCATTAAAATGAAAACTCATTGAATACTTAGTGAAAAATCTTTAGTCCATTTTAAAGAACCTAAATATATTCACTTCATTCCTAACTCTCAAAAAGACAATATCACGCCGTTTCGAATAGTATCTCCATAACTAGCAGATATTTATGTATGATAGGTTCGTGATCATGCGGTATTAAAAGTCTTCATTATGCATGTTTTATATTTAGATCATATCTGAATGTCCCTTTGTGCATTCATCTGACTTACATGGATGTATTCAGAAAAATGTTGGTTAAGAAATGGAGTTCCATTCACCTCTCCCAAGAAGTTTTGTTTCGCCATGAAAGACTCCCAAGAGATGTGTTTACAGTCTAAATGACCATTGTCCAAATGACCTTTGAGGCCATTACCCAAAATTGCCCGGTTGTCAGAAGGCAGTTTGGGCTGAGGTCATTGGAATTGATGATAAGGGGCTGTAGTGAACGTTAGCGCTGATCCATTCTATGAACGAGCATTCTGCATTTATAGCGTTTCTTCCAGGTAGAGTATATCCCAGGGTTCATACTGGATATTGTTTCTTCAAATAAGGTTTTGTGTTTAGCTGTTCTCACATCTTATTCTCACT